TATGTTCCGCAGGAAGAAAACCAAACAATACCCTGTCTAGACCTTCTGCTCTTCTTCAACCCAGCCAGCCTCCAGAAAATGCAAAGTTTGGAAAAGTGATAGAAGGTGATGAAACGTATTTGCAACCCTCGCCGTTCAACTCCACATGATGATCCCATATAAATTGTGATTCAAGATTTTCTGCCTTTCAGCAGACATTTTTCATCACAAGATCTCTCATGAGTCACTGAAAATTCAGTCGAAAAGGAGCTCTTGATGAGTATGGTGAGAAGCTTGGCTGCAAAACGTATTCTTCCAATCCAACCCTACCGTACACTCTCATGCGCTGCGCATTTGCCCCACGTACTAAATGTGACAGTAATTAACTAATCACTTCATAAGATTGCATATTCACAAACGCTACTCGAACGAAACAATTTTTTTCGAGTACTTCTTCCCCCCCCCTTTTCCCCTCTCCCCCACAAACCCTAACTCAATGATATTGATAGTAATTTTCCACCCGATGCAAAGTCTTGAAGAACTTACTCTTCAAGCTCCAACATTTAAAAATAATCTGCAAAAACATAAAAAAAGAAACACAATATGAATTACCCCACCTCGCAACACTTGCAAAATAAGATTGTAATCACTGGTAAGTTGAACAATCTTCCGAAATCCGGCAATAATGGAAATTGGAACGAATTGGTCAGCATCCATTTGGCATCGCAAATATCGATCGGTAATTAGATTTTCTCTGAAATACTCGAGCCTTTGTGAATAACACCCACATCCTATTGGCAAAACATCGCTTTTCACAACGACCAAAGCCTTTATGTAAATAATCGTCAACCGAATACACGGCATAGTATGCAACAAAGATGTTCCCATTATTTTTCTTGTATACTTAATAAACAAAATAGGAAAGGACAAGAAAACACTTTTTAAAGGATTTAGACTGACAAAGTCGCCCTGGAGATTATTGGGAAATTCAAATTCTCCTAGAAATTCACATTCAAATTCTCCTAGAAATTCGCAGAACCTTCAAAATCTATCCAGAGACTCTGAGTAGGAGGATCCCCTAAACCAAAATCCCGTTTTTCTAACTCATTTCAAAGATGGAAAACAAAACATGAGAGATGGCCTAAAAAGTGACGCACATTCCGTTTCTAATCAGACCCGAAGGCTTTCGAACGCGTATAGCGCCTAAACAAGCGTTGTTTTTGAACAATGTTCTAGCCAGCATTCTTATCCTCACTGACGAGCCTGGCACCAATTAATTCGCCCCGAGGGAATGGGAAGGAGCACACACTTGGTTGCAACAGGGAGCGAACCCACTTCCCTGCGCACATAATAGAACTCTTCAAGTTTTGCTTTTCATTGCGTTGTACCTCCCTTCATTAACCTCATATAGATTTTCGAACTTTAAAAGCCTTTCTTTATGTGTGAAAAAACACCTTAAACTACTATAGCGACTGCATGTTAGAGTGTCCAGCATTGGGATTATCAGCGCACTATACAGCGGGTTCTTTAATGCAATTCAAAAGCAATACCGCTCGCAGTGGTCAGGCCTCTTCCAAACATTGCCGTGAAATGAAGAAAACAACCCATATAGCCTGCGGCCACCATGGGCTCTCCTCATTATCGACATGCAAGCCTTTTGCTCAACAAGTCCCGCTCACTAACGAGAGAGAGGAAATGCGCCAAAATTAAATGAAAAACGAGCGTCAGGCTTCAGTAGTGACTTGAGTGAGCAACAGCTTGCTCAGCGATGCATGCCGTAACAACGACTTGACGAATGAGATGGTAATTTCTGCTGTACAAGTACACATCGAAAACAGTGGTCACCTTGAGAAATAATATTCGAGCTGCGCCTTGAGTTGTTGCTTGAGGTCAGGCATCGGAAGTGGCGGCGGAATTGGCGACGGAGCACTTGGAACAGCCATCGCAGGCACGTCGCAGTTCACTAGATTGTTGCGACACTCAGTGGTGAACCTGAACCTCACCAACTTTCCGCGTTGAAGCTTCCACATTCAAAAGCAACATAAGATATCACAACAAATGCAATCGAAAGAAAAACAAACACAATAAAAAGTGCTATCATCAGAGAAACATTCCCTACCAGTACGGCAACTGAGGGGCTGGTGGCGCGTCGACTGGAGGCGGCGGGGCCTTCTCAAGATCGCCGACCATGCGCTCGATCTGACTGCGATCTATTTGGATGGCCTGAAAAGTTGAAATGTTATTTCCGGAAGCTAGGTTTTAGAATCCTAGAGCCTCATTCTAACACAAAAAGAGGTTGCACAAGAAAAGTGAACATCAAAAAAGCCCCTGACTTCCTTTGCCTCCACTGAAATACGGATTCGCTCGTAACCCTTCTTGTTTTTCGCTCCCTCAAATTTGGCACTAAACACTCACAACGTGGCCAGATTTCAAGGAAAAGATTTTCAGTTGATTTATGGAACGATTTTGTAGCGTTAAGGATAAAATAAGTGAAAACGCCTGGATGCCCTCCTTGTGATGACGTGGAATATCATAAGTCGTACAATTACAGGAAATTTTCGATCAATTGCAAGCATTCGCGTATTTTGCTAAGCAGCGATTACAATAGAATTACATGTAAGTACTAACTGGCTCAATACGCAAGGTATACATTAGGCTTGGGTAAGACCTAATAAAAAATTCAAAATCAGCGAAGGGTTGATTTTCAGAACATACGGGAAGTGAGGGACAAAAAGAACCGTCCGAACACCGCCGAGACAAACGGTTGAAATAATGTGCCCAAACACGGAAAACGCCACCGAATTATTCAGCAATGAACGCGTGGCGAATTCCAACTAATCTCTACAGAAATCAATCGGAATTATGCATTTCTGTAGATGACAAGCGCGGAAATACTCATACAAAGACATCAGCGCTCTCATTCCACAAACATATTGCGTTCTGAGCAAAACTGGCCCTTTTACCCTTGTTTCACTGTTTGACATTACCCTGTAAATGATAAGCTTGCAATCGCCTTCACGCAGTCATAGGCGTAAGAAAAGAAAAAGTGTTTTCGTCATAAAGCTCCTCTAAAATTCATTCTAATCACATCGGATTAAGGACCTGCCCGCAATACACACCAAGTAGGTAGGTACGTGGGTGCGACGCAGAGGGGTACGGTTGTTGCGAGCCCCTTCTTTAGAAAACAATGTTAGACACCTTCTCATAGAACTAATGTCCAGCAGTTGGCATAAAACCTGAATCCTTCCCACCAAAACGGATGTTACCGCCGAAGAAAAATAAAAAAAAATAAAGGTCACACATTGTTGTTATGTTTCCATCTTTTGGTTTTGCTCACATTCAGATTATGCGAATGGCAAGCACCATGTTGAAAATCAAAAATAACAATAATTCGAGTTAGGTGGAATTATTGTAACGATTTTAGCACTGAAACAACCTTTACATTGAAAAATAGTGTTATGGCGGATTTCAAAGCACTCCCACTCACTCGCATGATTTTCAAATAATGCCTCCCAAAATAGAGCTATACAAAAAGAATGAAGACAATTGAAGCGTTTGTCTGTCCTTCGTATCTCCTCAGAACAAGACTACCTCAATAAACTTGTGCAGAAGACCTAGTCGTGGCTGACTAACAGCGGCCCACCTTAATTATTAGATAATTCATGATCGATTCCGGCTCCAGCGCGTTGTCGTAGGGGCACAAGCACGACAAGCTACTATTGCAGTCAAGTCGAGCGATGATGCTAGACTACTAGTTAATTAGCTGCGTCACAAAGAAAAAAAGCTCACACAACGAATTATTGAAAGAATGACGTACACATACCTCGAGATACTTCCAGAAAAATAAAAACTATGGCCAGAGAGGAACGGGCGTGCTTCTAGAAACATTGCAATAAAAAGTGAGCGATCAACTTTGTTTTGCTGACTTCATTTTTGGTTTCAATTGACTACGCTATTCGCAGAATGCAAAATGCTGGCAATAGAAGGTCCTAGAAGGACAATTATTGAGACCAGGTCCCCAAATTGTTTTATTATAAGGAGTGAGCGTTCTACAGGGAAGGTCCCATGTCATGCTAGATATAAATAAAGTATCTTCGAATAGAAACCTATCCGCGGATTCTTAGTAGTAATAATCCGATTTCTGAAGATTAATAATGATTTGCAAGAAATCAGGTTCCGGATTTCACTACTAAAATATCAATCGCCTTAGCGAATCAGGTCGCACCCGCTTTGCACCCTAGCGTTCACCAAGACTTTAGGCCCTATAATAGGTTGAATGATGAGATCTAAGAACGCTTTGAAGAGACAAATTTTCCATAATTGCAGTGTGGTGTTGAAAGTGAATTACTATTATATTTGAGCTTGATAAACTATCAAAAAAAGGCTATCACAGAAAATTCGACGCCCAAGAATTTCATTTCGGGATGAGCCACGTATACCACTATTCCATCCAAAATGCTAGACACTCTGATTGCAAGTTTTCTTGCAGGATAACCAGCGAGAGCTATTCAATGCTTGACACACATAAGTCAGTGTTTTTATCCTCTCAGACGAATACAGCGCCAACTAACCGAAGGATGAATGGCACAGTTAGCTTGGATGGATTCTGAATTCGATCAGTCCATGCATATGGGGAAAGCGGCACTTACTCCTACAGCACCCCAATTCGAAGACTACATAAAAGCTAATTGTAAGAACAAAGAGTGCAAAAAAAGCGCTAGGTACACTGACTCGGCATTGATGGATGAATAATAAAAAGCCATAAAGGGAAACAAAGGAAAGGAACAACAAAGTGAATTAAGTGCTGCTACCTTAATAGGACCAAGGTTGTGGCAAATTCTGGGCCTAGAAAGCATATCCATTCTATATTTCGCTGAGCAAGAGCCTGGAGCAAACCGTCATACCATATATAACCGATTACATCCACACTTGAAATTCCATAAAAAGCCTCCAAATATATGTTTCAAGTGATCTGCTTTCATGTTCTATATATCGCAAGTGTACTTCTAGTCACGTCAAGTAGCCTAACTGCGATGAAACTATCCGATAACCCTTTCGGAAATGTATCATTACTGATTACCATGCTTTCCCAGGAATCTATTTCATCACGAGACTAAACACGTCGCACGCAAGGGTAAAATAGGGGGTTAGGAAGGCGTTCTCTGCTAGGAGCGAGCATTTCTCGTGGTAGTTCTTTGATGCAAAATCAATTTCTAGCAAGCAACATTCATTATTCGCTCCTCAGCTGTTGATGGAAAGGCTTTTGTTATGAAAGACTGAGTTCATTAATCTTTTTTAAACAACCTAAACACATCAATCAAACTACGAACAATGAAAAGAGTATCCACCCTTAATTTTCAAACGGGTCACGCACTCGGCTTCCATGGAAATCTCAGCATTATCCGAATGTAGATTCGGTTTACACGATATCTTGCTGAGGCCGACCGATTTAAAGCCAGGGTTTCGATCCTCTCAGCCTATTGCCCGATGTCAGACTGCGATTGGAGCGATTTTGCACCAATTGCAGGAGCGACGGATCGCTTGAGCGATGCGAGCGACGGGAGATTTACGAACTGATGGCGCCGAATTATCGTTGGTCGGCGGTGTAAATCTCCCGTCGCTCGCATCGCTCAAGCGATCCGTCGCTCCTGCAATTGGTGCAAAATCGCTCCAATCGCAAAATCTGACATCGGCCATTGGTTTATCAAGTTATTCACCCTGGAGTGATGGCAGGACCTCGTAGTCAAATCCTTGACGGTGTCGAAGCACATGGGCTTGGTCAACAAGGTCAATCGAATCGTTCGCCAGAAAAATTGAGATGCTCAATTTCAAATGATTTTGCATGAGCTTACGTAATATAAGATTCCCAAAAACACATTTTAAAAAGAAAATAAGCGCTTTTATGGAGAAAAATAGAAAATGTAGCTGATACTGAACTCTTCACTATCGTTGAACACACCTCATTTCCCTTAAATTGCATCTCGCCTTCCTACGTCGGTGGGCCTCGTTCATTTTGAAGGTGACATTCATCATTCGCTTACCATCGGATACGAGCTGGATGCACATAGGACGGAAAAGACTTATTGCTCCTCGGTAGCATACAAGCATATGTATCCAATCGCCAGAAAGTAAGGATTGCCAACAATGCGACTCACAGAAGAACGTTGAAATGAGTAAAGAAGATGAAAAAGCAATTATATACTATCAAACTACCAGGAATAATATCTCTAATGCGGCTTTACTGCACAAGTAAAACGTCAAAAAGGCGCCCGAAAATTCCAGCGAACCTCAGCGACTATTGCTGGAGAAAATTTGAGAATGTATAAAGTGACATTTTCCCTATAAGCGCGCCGAAGTGGTTCCACTAGCAGAGTACGTTCAAACAGAACCATCTTCCGTATTCCACTTAAATAAAATTATAGCACTCTTCTATGTATAATGTATTCCAGCGATATTCATAGTTAATCGATTCTGTTAGCATCGGATACTAAGCCTGAGCTCAAGATATGCGAAACATGTAAAAAAGTTTGCGATAAGCTGAGTCGAATTCATCCTTGAATAAGAGGCTTCATTGCTTGCACTGAGCACAACTGGGAATTAAATCGATTTGCACGTCATACAAGTAACAAACGCTACTAGGAATAACAGTGCAATCCTGACGAGCCACAAGAATTTCTCTATAATCAATTTTCACACAATGAATCGTAATTCACATTGAAGCAGAAGTACAAGGGCATGATTCTCGCACAGCTCATCGAATTTTCAACGAATCATTGTCATAAGAGAAAAAGATAACTCGACAATCGTGAAGAATGACAATTACGAAAGCACTACAAAAGCGGAAAAGATCCTAACCGATGGTAGTTTCATACTTTAACGCCAACAACGCTATCATACTCATGTTGAGGGCGTACCAAAGGGACCTGAGCAGTTGTGATACGGCGGCAATGAGCTATTGAGCCCCACTGGTACCATAACTGAAAACTAGAAGCGTTTCAAAAACTACCGCGTAAGGGAAAAATTGGCAGGAATTGGTACAAAAAATAGGATGGACATCGATGCGCGAGGCACAGGTACAAATGCACTGACTATTAAGATATTTAGACCTGACACGCTTTAATCCAACTATCGCGCCAGGATATATCATTTGTCGGTTCAATAGCCAAGGTTAAGGTCAATTTCAGACTTTGCGAAGCCTTACGATTCCATCAGTAAACGCAGAAGCGACTATTGGCAATGTGCTAACAACGTAAAATATACAAGAAAAGTCCAATTAGAAAAAAAATTATTGCATAAGAGTCAGTGGAAAACAGAAGT